TTTGTTCATTTTTTATACAATTTTATTTATTAGCTTCCCGTAGGGTATGTTATTGTAATCGAAATCGAACAATCAAAAGTATTTTTTTTTCATAAGAGGTACCCTTGGATAAAATGGATGTGTTAGTATGCGTGGATACAATTTTCGTCGACGTTTTCGGGCGCACGAATTAACCGATTTGAATGGTTCAAAAAACATTCGATTTCTATTGATAGGAGATGTGCCGATTAGTTTTTGGCAAAGGCAGGTCCAACCGTTACGGAGATACGGAGCAAAGAGTGCAGAAAATACAAATCGAGTTTTTGAGAGAACGGAGTATCAGATTTGAATGATCTAAAAAATATTAAATTTGTAATGATTGGGATAAGAGGTGATTAGTTTTTGGCAAAGGCAGGTCCCGCCATTTCGAAGATACAGAGCTAAATGTATAAAATAGCAGTTTTTGAAGAACTAAGCGTTTGATTTTAATGGTTCAAAGAACTTTCTGCTTGTATTGACAAAACAATTGCTTTTGAGGTTAAAAAATCATTACATCTTTTTTTATTTTCCATGAAATATTTTTGTAATTTTGGATAAAAATTCAAAAAATAAACCAGGCTAAGCACAGTCTAAGCGCCACTCTGGTATAAATGTTTACCCAAGTGCGTTTAGACTGACTATACGGGAGCACTTTTTCAATTTATGTAAATTAGGTAACTATTTTTTTTTTTTGAAATTGAATTCGAAATGAAATGACGATTGTTAATGTCCTGGCGATAAATTGATTTGTGATTTACATTTGATTTACATTTTGATTTCAGATATACCAAGATAGCAAAAATAATGAAAATTACTGAATTTGTAATAATATATTTGAAAACGTTTAAAATTTCTCGAATATATCATTACGGTACGGGAAGTTCCAGCAATTTGCCTTAAGGCACGATGCCATACACCACTAGTTAATTTTTTTATTTTGTCAACACAAGTGAAATGATTTTTAAATCATTCAAATCGGACATTATCTCAAAAACTGAATTTTACACAAATAAACACCTGTAAATTTTATTTTGATATCACTTATAAAACTTACGATCATATAAATGTTAATTGATTCCTGAAACATTATAATTTTGTATTAATAACAACAATAATACGGAAGAAAAGATATAATTTATTTCCATATAAAAACTATGTTCGAATTTACAAGTGTGGGGATTGTACTTATCGTAAAAATAAGAAAAACATAAAAACTGAAGTGAATAAATTTTATTAATAACCTTTTCAAGCCAGATGTCAAAAAGAATATTTTTTATTAACATTAGATTATTGGGCTGGTCAAACGTACGAAGTATCATTCTCATAATAGTAAATTTGAACATTGTTTGGAAATTTGGCTAAATTTGGAAATAAATTATATCTTTTCTTCCGTATAATACAAAATTATAATGTTTCAGGAATCAATTAACATTTATATGATCGTAAGTTTTATAAGTGATATCAAAATAAAAATTTACAGGTGTTACGGAGAACTTTATTATGGAATATTCAGCAAAAAATAAAAATTAATCGAAAACTCAAATAAATGTCAATATTATTTACACGTGAAATTATAAATATCAAACAAAAATAATAAAAAAATATTATATCTGAATTGGGAATTGAACCCCGGAGCAAAAATTAGAATTCCACGACGATATCCACTAGGCCAATCTGCTATTGATAAGGAATAGCACTGCAAGCTATGCATTACGCGCGCTGCTAAAATGCAAACTTTTTTTAATTTTTATAATTAAAACCTTTTCATAGGCCTCTAATATTTTACCACGGTCAGTTTGGGCATCGAGTCTACCATTGTGCCAAGTTTCATCAAAATCCGAGACGAGCAACGCGCGGGGTTCTACTTATAAGGACGGTTGCCTGTTTCGCGCTTTCATTGACTCGACTAACATCATCTACCTGGGTTTGGGTGTAAGTTGCGCCTGTGTAGAAGACTCGATGTTTAACGAAACCCATAGAATGCGCCAATGTAGTTTTGTGTGAGCACTGTGCACGTGTTGCAAGGAATCGTGTTGTGAGCTATGCCCAAAACAATTGTGAGTAAAGTATTCAATTCAATAAACTTTTATATTCTGTGTGTGACTGGACATTCATCATCAGCGCAATGGCGACGAGACGCAAGACAAGCTCTATCTGGAACCATTTCACTTTAAAAGATGGCAAAGCACAATGCAACTATTGCTCGGAATTTTTATCAACATGTGCTTCAAATACCGGGAATTTAGCGAGACATCTAAGAAGAAAACATCCCGCGGTAGCATTTTGTCTGGGCATAAAGCGTGAGTCCGGATTATTCAACAAAACGTCCTCAGAAGCCTCGACATCGAAAACAGAGCATGATCATACAATGGAACATATAGATAATTATGATTACATGCAAAATACAGATCCTCTGTTTATGCACGAAGCGTCTGAAATAGATGCACAATTAGTCAAAATGATTGCAAGGGATGTCCATTCATTGAGTATAATCGAGGGACCTGAATTTAGAAAACTGTTGATGCTGTTAAATCCTGGTTATAACGTACCGACTCGAGAAACTTTGACGCAAACTTTGTTGCCACAAATTTATGAACAGACTTTGAATAGTGTGGGCAACGAAATATCAAATGCGACCTCAGTATGCATCTCAATTGAATCATGGACATCGTTCAAAGGTGAATTCTATATGGTATTAACAGCACATTACATAGATAAAGATCATAATCGGTGTGCCAAGTTATTAAGCAGCTTGCGGTATACCGGATTAGAAATAAACGCTTTATTAAAAAATGAATTAAACAAGTGGGACGTATTGGAAAAAATAGAGGCTGTAGTGAGTGATATCAGCCCAGCCATCCATAAAGCACTTACTATCGAAGGATGGTCTAAAATAACTTGCTTTGCGAATATCCTAAATAACGTCTTACTTAATGGAATTCGTGAACTCCATGCAGCAGTTATCAAAATGAAACAAGTTGCAGAAAATCATGAAGAAAGCCTGCTATCGCCAGAGTTGATAGAAGATATGACGTACAGATGGAATTCGTTATATGATATTCTGAATTGTATCATTGCAAGTAAAGACCATCTCTCAGAAGAAGATTGGGAGATAGCAGAGCACAGCCTGCAAATTCTCAAACCATTCTATGAAGTCACTATGGAAATATCTGCTGATAAATATGTGTCATTATCCAAAATTATCGTGTACTGTCGCCTTTTATGCCAACACTTGGATATACATAAACGCAAAGAAACAGTACCAATTGTTAAAAAACTGATAAAAGAACTAAGAGACTCCATGCATCGAACCTTTTACATCAATCATGATGTGGAATCTAATCAACTGTACGCTGAAGCTACAATCCTGGATCCAAGATTCAAGAAAAACGGTTTCAGCGATCAAACAAAATACTACAAAGCATTTGCAAACCTAAGACAAACCTTCCAAGAAAACTGTGCACCGATTCAAAAAACCCAGGACTTATTCCCAGGATCCATATGGGAGCAGTACATCATCGAAAACTCTGTCCCTGAATATGATGGTTCAGGTGCTGTTGAATTAGAGAGATACATCGAAGAACCAATTGTAAGTCTTCATGAAGACCCACTGATGTGGTGGTCTTCACGAAAACTGGTTTATCCACATTTATATGAAGTTGTGTTAAAAAGATTAAATATTCCTGGAAATGCTATACCTGGTGAGAGAATTTTTACAAAAGCTGGAAGTGAACTGAATGAACGAAGGGCAAGTTTGGGGTCGAAATATTTGGCTGAACTGCAGTTTATTGCTAGCAACGCAGATTGAATATAAGTTCATTTATATCCATAATTTGTGTAATGATTATATTGAAGTTTAATAAAAATATTCCAATTAATGACTTATCTATACTTATAATTAAAATTAGATAAAAATAAAGACATTATTCAAAAAAATTCAAAAACCTCAAATAAAATATAATTTTTCTTTCCTGAGCTTTTAAAAATTTCATGTTACAGTATGGGAAATTTCAGTAACTTGCCTTAAGGCACAATACCATGCACCACTAGTTCAAAATTTGTTTGTCTCTGCTTGTTTTGATTAATCTTCGAAAAGGACTTGACCGATTTTGCTGGGTTTTTTATTGGTTGGATTCTGATGTAATTGGGTGTAACTTAGGCTACTTTTATTTCAGGAAAAAAAGTTCTTGTTATTTAATTTATTTTAATTATTAATCATTTGTTAAGTGTGTTTTTTATATGGACCAAAATAATATAATGCAAGTAAGCCCAATATTGTTAAGGTCCAGCAAATACAATCAAAGATTTGTAAGGTGAAACTAGAAAAAATTTACTATGAATCCATATCAACAGTTATATACAGACCAATACAAAAGTTTGGGAATAAAACTACTTTGAATTTGATATTTCGTATTTTAGCAAAAAATAAAATAAAATTCGAGACATTTTTTTAGTTTTTAGCAAATATCTCACAAATTTTATATGAAAGCACCCTTCTTTAGTTAGATAGGGTAAAACTAGATAAAATTTACTACAAATTTTTATAAACACTTATATACAGTCCTATATAAAAGTTTTGAATAAAATGACTTTGAAATCGATTTTTCATTCTTTAGTAACAAATAGAAAATTCGAGACATTTTTTTTTGTTTTTTGGCAAATAACTCACAAATTATATATGAAAGCACTCTTTTTTAGTTAGATAGGGTGAAACTAGATCAAATTTACTACAAATCCATATCAACAGTTATATACAGACCGATACAAAAGATTTGAATAATTCAAAACTTCGAACTTGATATTTCATTATTTACAGTTGTAACTTGATTTGTCTCCAATTTTACAATTTGAAAATACCTAATGTTGACAAAGTATTTAAAGATACAGACAATACTTCATGTATCAACAATTGAGGTTCATCCAAATGACTTAAAAAGACCTTAATGTACCAGCTATACTAAAAAATCAGGATCTGGACTAACCTTAAGCTTAATTAAAAAAATAACTCACTAGTGTTTTCTATACATTTTTTTCAAAATAATATAAGCTATATTTCAATCTTATCATAATGGCTTGTAAAATTACATATTGATTATATTATCAAGAGCTAGAAGGCATCATTGTGCAAACGATAATATAAAACCAGACATCAGGCAGATTCCTAACAAAATTACACAATAAATTTAATATAGAATTTTGTGATATGAGTGGAACGAATTTTAAATGTTAAATATGAACAATACAACACTCAGATTTTTAACACATACTTTATTTGGTGATTATCAATTCGAAAAAAACATTTATTTTTTGGCATTGAAAATATTTGCCAGAAATGTCAATTCACTTGAAATTTGAATTTAGCTGAAATTATGAGTATAGATATTATTAGAATATAATATACAAAAAAAATGTAATGTCTACATTATTATTGCCGAAAAGCAGCTAAGATGTCAACAGTATGTGTTTGGCAGATAAAATTATATAATTCAGTTAATAAATAATGAAAAAAGTCCAAAATTGCATATACATTAATTTTTTAAATTATTTAACAATACAAAAAAGTATTTCTACTTATTAAAAATAATGATTTAGAACTTTGTTTAATGTGTCAAAAATTCATTTGTTTGGCATCGGATATGGAATATTTAGTAAGCTGCTCTTAAATTGAGAGTGCTCATATGAAGTAGATTTTACAAATTAATTCACCTAAAATTTGAACATAAACAATAATGTTTATTTAGTTATTAGTAAGAAAAATGTACTTTAGAAATTATAATTGCCAAAAAAGCAACTAATATATGAAAATTATAGACTAAATTATTGAAGCTATTACGTTGTGTGGTAAAATCAAGTGTGATCAAGTTCTTTTACCGCAGATACTATATTATTTTTCTCTAAATTTCTTATAGTGCTTATGCTAAGACCATAAATGAATCACAAAGGCAGGACATCAAATGGAATATTAAAAAGTATAGGATAGGATGTTAAAAAATTTGGAACTTTTGAATTGTAGACGTGGGTACAGGACAACGTCTGTCGGGTCATCTAGTATTCATAAAAACACTACATTGGCACTAAAATGAAACAACTCAGACTAAGAGCCAAAAATGTGGTTGATTGAAACTTATGTGGTTGATTGAACATGTCTCTCAAAGTCTACGAAAGTGTAGTTACTCCAATCTCGAGTTATGGTACTCAACTTTGAAACTGCTCGGCAAATCAAAAATACACATCATTGATAAATTAAATGTTATTGCAGCTACATTATACTAACCTAACCTTAACAACCCTAAGCAATTCTCGATCAAAGCAAAGGTCTCCTCAAGTTCCACCTCAGAATTGTCTTTACATACAAGTCTATATTATAACTATTGTGTCTATTATTATTATTACCTCACAGATAACTCGTTCCCCGCTGACAGATCCACTGGAGACCGAGCCACAGGTCAGAGGCAATCCACTGTCTTCAGAAATGCTGATAGGTGTTTCAGACCAACCAGAAAATGAAGGCGGGGATTCCATAACATCAATTCATGCTGATGTTATGCTGACGACTATCACGTTAGCACATTTTCTAGAATCTTCAAATTAACACACAGAGATTTTCTAAGGTCTACAAAAGTAATTGGATTATTTTTCACATATTGCACAAATTATAGATGGGTAATGAGATAATATTGAATTAGATATTTAGATGTTGAGATGTATGTTTTGTCAGAAATCGGCACTGATTTGCAAAAACTATTCTGTAGAATCAAGCACTGACATTATGACAACTTTGACGTTTTTTTGTATGACAAGTGTGAAGTTTGCCTGAAACGAAAGAAAGATGGTGGAGTTAAAGAGCGCGCGCGAATTTCAAATTTCAAACTATTCATTTATTTTACATCTATTTGCTCAAAAATACTTTTAATATTATTTTTTTTACAGTAAATTAGGCGTATTTAAATTAATAATTTAAATAAAATACTATAATATTTATTAAAGCGGTTATTTTAAATTTCAAACTACTCGTTAACGATTAAATTTAATTCAATTAATATATTATACCTTGTAATATTATAATAATTATTATAAATACTGTAACATTTGTCTAATAAGTTATAACAAAATGTTCGAGAAATTATAATATATAATTCATATATTAAAAATTAATCTATTATATTATAGATTAATATAATATAATAGATTAATTCATAATATATGAATAGATTAATCTATTCTATATTTCATATAGAATAGATTAATCAATTTGAAACCATTTAATATTTCGTTACGGTACGCGAAGTTCCAGCAATTTGCCTTAAGGCACGATGCCATACACCACTAGTTATTTTTTGCTCTAGTAGATATATTATATCATGGTACAATAGATCTAACATTCAATGTTATATTGCAACAAATACAATTTTAGAATAATTTCATTGAAAACTTTGCAAAATTTGAAACTACAGCTGTTTTCCACATTTTCCAGTTTATTCTTGTAATTTTTATATTTAAAACACACATACTTTTTCTAACTTCGATGTCAAACGATTCAGAATGATCTGAAACATTGACAAAATATAAAAAAGTAGGTCGGTTTTTAAATATAATATATATTATATAAACCTATAAACTTCCTCCGAGAGATTTATTAAATTATTATAATAATATCAGATACATAGATTTTTCAATTTCGATGGCAAACGATTCAGAATGACTTGAGAAAACGTAAAATTAGCAAATCGGATTTTTTCGCGGAAACAAAAACCTCTATAAACTTTCTTTTAATAATTAATATTTGAGCAAATTTAATTTTTTACAATAATACATGATAAGTGTTCAATTCAGAATGACCTGAAACGTCGGGAAAATATAAAATCAGCAAATCTGATTAAAGATCTATTAAATTGTCATAATCTAAAAATTATATATACTCTAATATATAACTCTTTAATATATATTTTAAAATACACACTTACGAGTATACATACTTTTTCCAATTTCGGTCGCAAACGATTCAGAATGACTTGAAACGTCGAGCAAACAAAAATGCAGCATTTTGGATTTTTTGGCAAAAACATTACTTCTCCTTGGGGGAATTAATAACAAAGAAAATTTATTAAATCAGATAGATTTCCCAAATTCGATGTCAATCGATTCAGAATGACTAAAAACGTCTGCAAAATAAAAATTAGTCAGATTTTCTGGCGAAAACATAAACTTTTCCTTGGGGGAATTAATAATAAAGCAGATTTAATAAATCATTTCAGATAGATTTTCCAAATTCGGTCCCAAACGATTCAGAATGACTCAAAACACGGGAAAAAAATTAACAAATTGGATTTTCTGGCAAAAATATAAACTACATAGGTTAATAATAAACTTTTATTAAAATTAGTATCACAATTCATTAGATCACATATATTAAAATTCATAGTATAAATACTCTAGTACGGTAAATCCCCGTGTAGGCGGGGGTAACAAACACGTTTAAGCAAGAAGAGTAGAGTACATTATAGTATTAATCGTAGTAATCGTCTTAACGGGGTTTACAGTATTTGTTATCAAATTAAATGCATTGTTCAATAATTTTGTAGCTATTTCTCCAATAGCTACATATAAAACTTCATAAAAATTATTGATGTCCATTATTTGCATCAATTATTAAAACCTTCCTGGTTACACGGTAAATCCTGGCAGATGGTCGTATCCTGGCTGTTAACAAATTTAACAGTTGTACTCGGGGTAAAAAATCCAAGGGTCATCATAAACTATACCGAATTTAGATGGATCACCATGTTTTTGTACTCTTCGATTTTGTTCCAAATATTGGAACTAGGATCATCATCACTTGACTCGTCAGTATCATTATTATTGATGATGAGTTCACAGTTTACCGGTTTTTGGAAAATAGGTCGTTTTTGAAGTTTAAAGGTTTGGGTTAGTGTTGCTTGTTTGGTACACTTAGGGATAACTGGATTAGGCAAAATGTTTTTAGTCCCTAGCACCAATTTCGAATGATCCATGTTTCTATCAATGGGTGTACTCGTAGGTCCAACTTTGTCATTAAAATTCATCCAATTTGTATCCGATGTTTTATCCACAACAGTATTCGATTCTTGTGAGTTGGGGATGACTTCATTAATTCCCAAGTCGTCCAAAGTAGCCTTGATGGTTTGTGTTAAATGTTCAAGACTCTCATAAATTTTATTGCAAGATTTTGTTGGTGCAGGCATCACATTCTCATCAACTTGTACATCAACTTGTTCCATATTTGGTGTAGTTGCTGCTGCAGGTTTTACTAAAGTTTTTTTCCTGACTGTTTTCTTTTTGGTGACTTTTTTCTTGGAGCCTCCAAGACGTTTTTGCTGTTTTGCTGCACAACGCTGGGTAACTTCTTCGATAATCAGGTCAATACTATTTTTGAACAAACTTTTTTTCCAATCCATGACGTTGATGTTAGTTTCTAGGATGTCTAAAATTATTGTTTCAATGATTTTTTTACTTTTTTCTGTTGTTTTAAAACTCGTGTCATTGGTATTTTTATTTGAGATGTCCTTTAAGGTGTTGTCCTGCTTTTTATAATTATCAGTATTGACCATTATTGATTTATTACGCATTGATTTAATTAATCCTTGTCCTTCTTGACTATTAGTTTCAATCACCATACTCGTTTGAACGTTTGCATCCTTTTGTCCAAAAATATCTTCATTCTCAAGTACCACATTATTGGAACCAACTTGTTGATCAGTGTTTAAAATAATTGGTTCAACACTTTTCTGGTCTGTAATGGTTACTTCCTGGTCTTGTTCTTCTAAAATGTTTGATAAGAAACTTGTTTGAGCCTCTACGTCTTTCAATATAATTCCTTTATTATTATTATTAAAACCTTCACCAGCATTTGCATCATTATCATATATATCTATATCCATTCCATTTTCACCAGTATCCGTATCATCAGTTTCCTTATCAGTAACCGGTATTCTTAAATCAAGAGGATTTATGTTACTATTTTCTTTACCTTTGTTCATCGAGTCCAAAACAGTGAAATTTCTATTAGCCAAAGCGTATCTCTTGCAAATAATCAGGTGAGTTTGTGATATTAGGTTTGTAAATTGTTTTGGAAATGCATTTCGCCATTTTTTCATGCAATTTTAATAACTTGGTTTTGATGTGATTGATTTTTATGTTGTTTTGGTTTTTAATAGGCAAGGGAAAAGAATCTTGTTTGTCTTGTAATTCTTCTTGCATTTCAACTTCTTTATCTGGGAATGATTTTCGATCATCTCTAGATAATTTATGACAATCCATAAATGATCTATTAGCTGTAGCTGTTTTGCCATCATCTCTAGATGCTTTTTTATCATTTGTGAATGATTTTCCATGGTTTGTAAATGTTTTTCTATCATTAGTAGATGATCTTCTATCAACAGATGATCTTCGATGGCTTGTATATGATTTTCTATCGTCCACAAATGAATTTCTGTCAAATGCCAATGTATTTCTATCGCCTGTAACTGACCTATCATCTGCAAATGTATTTCTATCATCTTTAGATAAATTTGTAACGTCTGTAAATATATTTCTATCATCTGTAGATGATTTTCTATCACCTGTAGGTATTTTTTTAGCATCTGTAGAAGATTTTCCATCATTTATAAATGTATTTATACCATCTGTAGATAAATTTCTAACTTCTGTAAATATATTCCTATCATCTGTAGTTGATATATCATCTGCAAATGTATTTCTATCATCTGTAGATGATTTTCTATCATCTGCAGGTATTTTTCTAGCATCTCTGAGTGATTTTACATCATTTCTAAATATATTTCTATCATTTGTGAATGATTTTCTTTCTGTAGATGATTTTCTATTACCTGTAGGTGATTTTTTTTCACCTGTGGATGATTTTTTATCATCTGTAAGTTTATTTCTATCATCTGTAGTTGATTTTTCTTCAGCTGCAAAAGATTTTCTATCATTGTTGAATGATTTTGTATCAGTAGATGATTTTCTTTCACTTGCGAATACATTCCTATTATCTGAAGATGGTTTATCATCAATAAATGTATTTCCTTCGCCTGAAAAATATCTATCATCTGCATCTAAGTATCTATCATCTGTGGATAATTTTCTTTTACCTTGTCTATCGTCTGTAAATGATTTTCTTGCATCTATAAATATATTTCTATCATCTGTATGTGATTTTCTATTATCTGCAGATGATCTACGATGTGCAGATAATTTTGCATCACTTGCAAGTATATTTCTTTCCCCTGTAAAGGTATTTCTATTATCTGCAGAAGATTTTCTATCATCTGCACTTGATTTTCTATGTCCTCTAATTGTATTTCCTTCGCCTGTAAATGATCTATCATCTACATATGATTTGCTACCATCTGCGGATAGTTCTTCATCATCTGTAGATTTTCTATCTCCTATAAATGCATTTCCTTTGTCTGCATTTCTATCATCTGCATCTGAATTTTTGCCATCTATGGATAATTCTTCATCATCTGTAGATGATCTTCTATCATTTCTAAATGTTTTTCTATAATTTGTAGATGATCTATGATCTGTAAAAGATGTTCTACCGGCTGCAATTAATTTTTTGTCATCTCTAGATGATTTTCTTTCATCTATAGGTGATTGTCTTTCATCTGTAAATAATTTTCTATCATCAGTAAATGTATTTCTATGGTCTCTAGAAGAATCTCTTTCATCTGCATTTGATTTTCTATCATCTTTATATAGTTTTCTATCTGCTAATGATATTCTATCATTTGTAGATGATTTTTATCACCTGCAGATGTATGTCTATCATCTGCAGATGATTTTGTATCATTCGTAAGTGATTTTCTTTTACCTGTAGTTGATTTTCTATCAGCAGTAAATGTATTTCCATCGTTTCTGGAAGAATCTCTTCCATCTGCATTTGATTTTCCATCATCTTTATATAGTTTTCTATCAGCTAATGATCTTCTATCACAAGTAGATGATTTTTTATGGTCTGTAAATGATTTTCTATCACCTATAGGTGTATTTCTATCATCTGTATACAATTTTGTATCATCTGTAGAAGATTTTGTATCATCTGTAGGTGATTTTCTGTCATCATTAGTTGATTTTCTATCATCTTTAGAAGATTTTCTATCCGTTATTGGTCTTCTATCATCCGCCAATGATTTTCTATCACCTGATGGAGATATTTCATTATCTATAATTGATCTATCATCTGTAAATGATTTTCTTTCATCTGTAGAAGATTTTCTGTCTCCTGTAAATATTCTTTTATCTTCTACAAATGATCTTCCATCATCTCCAAGTGATTTTCTACCATCTGTAGTTGAATTATCTTGTGCAATTGATCTTTTATCATCCGTAGATGATTTTCTAACACCTTTAACTGATCTTCTATCTTCTGCAGATAATTTTCTATCATCTGTAGTTAAAATATCATCTGTATATAATTCTCTTTCATCCATAGATGATTTTTTATCGCCTTTAAATGATCTTCCAACTTCTACAAATGATCTTTCATCATCTACAGCTGATTTTTTACCATCTGTAGTTAAAATATCATCTGTATATAATTTTTTTTCATCCGTAGATGATTTTCTATCACCTATAAATGATCTATCATCTCTAAAAGATTTTTTATCATCTGCAGATTTACATCTTACGTCTGTAAATGTATTTTTATCATCAGTAGATAATTTTCCACCATCTGAACATGCTCTATCGTCTCTAAAATGATTTTCTTTCATCTGTAGATAATCTTTTATTATCTGCAGCTAATTTTTTTACCTTCGCAGATGATCTATCTTGTGTAGATAATTTAATATCACACAGTAGATGAGTATTTATTGTCTGTAGGTAATCTAGTATCTGTAGATAATTTTCTATCACCGGTAAATGATCTATAATTATTAGAAGATTTTTCATCTTCTGTAGATAATTTTCTTTTACCTGTAAATGATTGTCTTTCATCTGTAACTGAACTATTATCAGTAGATGATTTTTTAACATCTGTAAATAATTTTCCAGCATCTGTTAAGGTTTTTTCATCACCTACAGATGATTTTTTATCATCTGATGTTTTATTTTTGGGTTTTGTTTTAGCCTTTTGTGCTGGCATTTTATTTTTATCTCTGGTATCTTCCAATCTTTTGGAACTTCTGGTTTGTCTACAATGTGCACCATCATTTTGTTCAGTATTTTTATAAATCCTCATCTCTATTTGAAGAAATATTCTCTACATTCTTGGTTGGAGAAATTTGTACTTCCATTGTGCCCTCATCATTAAATTTAGTCTGTTTAATTTTGTTCTGGTTGATTCCATCAATTCTGTTCAAGTCTTCCAAGTCCAGGCACTTAATTCTGGCAAATTTTAGCTTCTTCGTATTCCTGGTTTGTCCTGAATCTTCAGAATCCAATTTGGAAACCATTCTGGTATTCTTGCAAGACATTTCTTTTACCATTGTGCACCCATCATTAGTTTTACTCTTCTCATCCAAATTAGTACTTTTATTCCTATCAATTCTATCCAGGTCGTCCTTTTCCAAACAATTTATTTGCACATCAACTTGTTGCTCCAAAGGCAGACTGCTACGCAAAGACTTCTTCTGAGAAACCCTTCTATTGATTCTTTTAGTAGAAGCACCACAAACCGCATCCACATTCCTCAAGATATTCTTATACTTACTGCTGCTTTTAAGCTTGAAACCATTTTTTTGCGATTTAAACTCAGGAAGATAATAAACTGCATCATTTGAAGTATCCAAATCAGCAGTAGTAACTGCCGATGCTGATGCAGTTTTATTATACTTAGAATATGCAAAAGAATCCATTTTACCAACAACTGGTTGTACTATTCTTGGAACATTCTTATCCTTATCATTAACCAAAACAGGAGCGCGTTGTTTAATATTTCTATACTTACTTTGAGACTTATTTTGATAAAAATCATGCTTTTCTATCGGCTTTGGTAAAAAATAAACTGGAGGACTTACTTCGGCTTCTTGTTGATTGTTGATAGTGTTAATTTCAGCTAAAGGTTGTTGAGATAAAATACTACTTTTATTTTTATAAGAATCGATCTTTTCTAAAGGCTGCCTGAAGCTTTCGTGTTGATTGTTGACTAAGTTGCTCCCAGATTGTTGAGACAAATTTGATTTGTTCATTAAATTATTATCTGAGGAACTCGATGAACAGCAAGACTTATTTTTAGACTCAAGATGTTCGTTTAAATAATGTTGAGAATTAAAATCAAAATCAGATGATTTTGGGGAACTTTCATTTGAACTCATATTTTAAAAAAAATGTACATAATAAAAGAAAAAGTTATGGATATTGCAAATGTTGATTGAAGACAACTGGAAGCCCAAATTAAATTTCATTTATATGTCATGTTAGGCTAGGTTCTAAAAAATTTTTGAAACACTTACCTGAATTTATTATTGTCCATTAATTCCTTTCACTGATGTTAATAATGTATTTATTCACAATCTGTAATACAATTAAAACAGTTATTATAAATGTTTTTAACTATAACTGTATATTAACTACTAATAATAATGTAGAGTCATGTTCTAGAAAAATTTTGAAAACACTTACCAGAATCAATTTCCATTAATTTTCTTCACTGATTTTAATAATAATGTATGTATCCACAATCTAAAACATAATTAAAACAACTGTTACTTACATATTTAATTATATTTAGACATTAACTAATTTATTTTAAAATAACTACCTCATGTGCTCCTGTCTTGCGTAGTGACTAATAAAAAGACTCCGATCTAACCAAAAATTATTTATCACCAAACTAAAATTGTTAAAAAGTATTAAATTTGAAAAAAAAACACGCAATTTAAGTTATTAAAAATGATTAAAAATGTAATATAAATGATATAAAGTAATGTTCCAACTGCTGTTCAAAATTTTGTAATGGCGCGAAATTCAAAAAAGGTTTGATTTGAAAGAGATTTATGGAACTCTACATTTTTAAAATAATGATATATACGTATATTCAATTAAACATTAAGAATTTGAAGAAAAAATACAATTTTAAGTATTAAATTTGATTAAATTTTAAATATAAATGGAAGAGTTCAGTGATATTTGAAATTTTATATCAAAAACGATTTTTCTGTTGGAACAACTAGACTTTAAAAAGTATATTTATAAAAAAGTTTTTACCTTAGGACATATTTTTATAATCAAATATTATATATAAAAGGTTAATAATTATTATTTTTATATTTGCTTATTATTAAAGATTTCAAAAACCTTTAAAGTGATTTTTAAAAATGTATAGTATTTTTAAAGAAAATTTAAATATTTTTGCCAATTTTCAGTTTTTTATCACATTTTTAATAAAAATGATTTTTAAAGTGAAATTTTGTCAATTTTTAATTTTTTCCATCACATTTTTAATAAAAAATGAATTTTTCAGGTAAAATTTAGCCAATTTTTAATTTTTTCTATCACTTTCCTAATGAAACATGATTTTTTAGAGTGAAATTTTGCCAATTTTTAAATTTTTCTATTACATTTTTAATGAAACATAATTTTTTAAAGTAAAATATTGCTAATTTTAATCTTCTTTTAGCATATTTTTATTAACAAATTGTTATTTTGAGTAGATATTTTAGTAATTTTGAATTTCTTCTATTACATTTTTATTAATTTTAAATTTTATTATCATTTAGATAAAATTTTACTAATTTTGAATTTCTTCTAACACATTATTAATAACAAATGTTTTTATAAATTAAAAAAAATTAGTAATTTTCAAATTCTTCTAAAACATTTTAAATTATATTATTATTTAAGTAGAAACTTTATCAATTTTGAATTTCTTTTATTAAATTAAAAAAAATAATTATTTTTAAGGTAAAATAACTAATTTTGAGTGACTTCTAACACATATTATCAATAATATTTTAAGCGGAAATTTTATCAATTTTCAATTTCTTCTAAAACATTTTCAATAAATAATGGACCAATTTTATTTTTTTTTTATAACACATTTATAATAAGAAATGATTATTTTGAATGAAGTTTTCAAATTTTGAATTTCTTCGATCATATTTTTAATAACAATTTTTTTTTAAAGTAAATTTCTTCTAGAACATTTTTATTAACATACTCATCATTTTTAATTTCATCAAGCAATTAAAAAAAAAATCATATACACAAATTGGATCTAGCAAAATCAAACCCCTCCTCGGAAAAGTCAATAAAACTCCCTTTTCATAATATTTATTTTTATTAAACATATTTATAAAGTAAGTTAAGGTATATACACATTAAAATGAGAATTCTTCATTTTAGGAATACTAAAAAAGGGGTCGATCGATCATTTTTATAAAAATATATTATTAAACTATCGGTTACTATAAAATTAAGTGTATCTCATCAAATAGCATAACTGTTGTGTGTGTGTATAAAATCTAAAAACTCACAAAACAAGAGAAATAGTAATAAATTAATTATTATTTCTCATTACAAAGTAAATGAAGCAATTTCATACAAAACAAACAAACAAACAGACATACAGACAGAATATGGATACATGACAAATTATAAATGTGATTCTTTATATTGAGGTACTTAATAAAATTGAGAATTTATAGTTATAATTAACAGATGGATTTTTTGGTAACATTGATTTATTTATTTAGTATTACTTTACATTTAAACACTGTGTAATCCATGAATTATTTGGGACAGTAAACATTTAACCATGTTCATCGAGTAATAAAATTTGATAAAAACAACACGAGAAATAAAAATTATGTTAAAAAAATCTTATTAATTAATTTCATTTATAACTGATTCAAACAAAACTGTGAAAAATCCTTAAATATATTTTGCCTTAAACACACATCAAACAAAGCTATACCATAATTTTAAAAACTTCAAGCACTTCAATATTGGTTTCAATTTTCCAGTTGAAGAATTACAAATTTTAAAAAGTTTCAATAACATCTTTTATCTATTTATTACAGTATAGCTCCTTTGATTAGGTTTATTATTTTTAGGCGGGAACACATCAAACATCAATTGTTGCAGTCAAATAAACGCCAACAGTTAAAATATAATTTTTAAACAATTCATTATTAACAATTTAAAATAAATTTTGCCATTTTTAAATTAAAAACTGGTTTATCACAACGATCGTCAATCAGGCAACAATAACATACACTTCGATGACATATTTGATCCCGAATAAAAATTATAAATAAACTTAAAAAAAAAAATACAAATAAAAATGCAATGAAGTAATAGGCTTATTATATATATATATATATATATATATATATATATATATATATATATGTATGTATAAGAATGATATATGAACACACAACATTCTTTTTGCACTACTCATTGAATTTTGTTATTTTTTCCAAAAAAGTTAATTTTATTCCAAAGTATTTTAACATTTTTCTACCCAAAGTATTTTATCATTACAATTATTTGCATATAATATTCTTTTCTTGATACTGCTCTTAATTATTATTTTCCAAATTTGGGACTTAAAAATTTAAAGGATTTTTTTTTACCATCAGGAGAATCTCAAGATCTACAAGCCTTAAATAAACTATCTCAATATCAAAACATTTTTTTTTCTTCAAGTTATTGCATTACATAATACAAATGTTAAGTTTAATATCGTTTCAGTGTGATAATTTATTTTCTGTAATTACTAAATTTAATCCTGTATCCAAAATATAAACATAAATATATAAATATCATTATCAAAAATATTCTTAATTTTACAAACGTTTCGAGACTAGGTTTGTCACATCATCAGTGTATAACCGATTTTCCTGTATCATAATCCCAAAGTCAAAGAAAAGCGATTTATCTTGAATTTAATAAGATAAGTAAGTCATCTAGTCTAAAACACACATATGTTATTTATTACTGAGTCATATTTCATCATGCATCGGATAACATGGACCTTCTTGTCTTTATGTTAGTGATTAAATCTCTAAAATTTTTATACTGATGATGGGACATAAACCTAGTCTCAAAAAGTTTATAAAATTTAAAATGCTTCATAAATAGTGCAAAAATGAGTGTTTTGTGTTTTTATTTCATAGTTCATTATATATATATATATATATATATATATATATATATATATATATATATATATATATATATCCTAATTATATATATCCTAAATTTTTTATACTGATGATGAGACAAACCGAGTCTCAAAAAATTGTAAATTGTTGTTCATATTTCATAATTATTTATATATATATATATATATATATATATATATCCAGAATTTTCAAGAATTTGGTTTGATACTTTTCCAAAAAATTAATTTAAAAAAAAAGTTTACAAAAGAGAAATGTTTTTTTGTAGATGTTTAACTATTAACAAACTTGATTTATGTTTTTATAAAAAGTAGTAAATAATTATATATTTATTATGTACATTTCGACACTGTATGTGTGTCATCATTCAGCACATTAACAAATACAAATTAGGAAAAAAAAAACACACACGAATTTAAAGACGTTTAATGAAAAATACAAACTATTGAATAAAATAAAATGATAAAATAAAGTTAATTAATAATATTATTTACCTAGCCACATTTATTTAGCAAATTGTAAAATGACAAACTAAATTTTATTATTTAATTTTTAGTTTATTATTTTAATTTATTGGTTTATTTTTTATTCAACAAAGTCTTTAAACTCTGGATTTTTTTTATTGAACTAGAAGTTAAAAAATATATTTATAGATAATAAATTTAAATTTAGATAAAGCTTTATTTTAAAGTATAAATGAATATATAATATATAATTTGAACGATATATCAATTTGTTATTAATAAAAAAATAATTTACGGGCAACGTATGTTATTTAAAAAAATATTAAAGTTGTTTTGGTGTTTAAAGATGAATACTGGAAAAACTGGAATTTAGCGAGACATTAAAAAGAAAACATCCCGCGTAGCATTTTGTCTGGGCATAAAGCGTGAGTCCGGATTCTTGGACAAAACATCCTCAGAAGCTTCGACATCGAAAACAGAGCATGATCATACAATGGAACATATAGATAATTATGATTACATGCAAAATACAGATCCTCTGTTTATGCACGAAGCATCTGAAATAGATGCACAATTAGTCAAAATGATTGCAAGGGAATACTAATAATTGAAGAAGTTGAAGTTCGAAAGCTGTTAATATTGTTAAATCCTGGATACAACGTCCCAACTCGAGAAACTTTGACGCAAATTTTGTTGCCACAAATTTATGAACAGACTTTGAATAGTGTGGGCAACGAAATATCAAATGCGACCTCAGTATGCATCTCAATTGAAACATGGACATCGACTAATAATGAAAACTATATGGCATTAACAGCACATTACATAGATAAAGATCATAATCGGTGTGCCAAGTTATTAAGCAGCTTGCTGTATACCGGATTAGAATTAAACGCTTTATTAAAAAATGAATTAAACAAGTGGGACATATTGGAAAAAATAGAGGCTGTAGTGAGTGATATCAACCCAGCCATCGGTAAAGCACTTACTATCGGAGGATGGTCTAAAATAACTTGCTTTGCGCATATCTTAAATCACATCTTACTTTCTGGAATTGAAACAAGTTGCAGAAAATTATGAAGAAAGCCTGCTACCGCCAGAGTTGATACAAGATATGACGTACAGATGGAATTCGTTATATGATATGCTGAATCGTATCATTGCAAGTAAGGACCATCTCTCAGAAGAAGATTGGGAGATAGCAGAGCATAGTCTACAAATCCTCAAACCATTCTACGAAGTCACTATGGAAATATCTGCTGATAAATATGTGTCATTATCCAAAATTATCGTGTACTGTCGCCTTTTATGCCAACACTTGGATATGCATAAACGCAAAGAAACAGTACCAATTGTTAAAAAACTAATAAAACAACTAAGATACTCCATGCATCAATCCTTTTACATCGAGCATGATTTGGAATCTAATCAACTGTACGCTGAAGCTACAATTCTGGATCCGAGGTTTAAGAAAAACGGCTTCAGCGATCAAACAAAATACCACAAAGCATTGGCAAACTTAAAACAAACCTTCAAAGAAAACTGTGCACCGATTCAAAAAACCCAGAACTTATTTCCAGGATCTATATGGGAGCAGTACATCATCGAAACCTCTGTCCCTGAATATGATGGTTCAGGTGCTAATGAATTATCGAGATACATCGAAGAACCAATTGTAAGTCTTCATGAAGACCCACTGATGTGGTGGTCTTCACGAAAACTGGTTTATCCACATTTATATGAAGTTGTGTTAAAAAGATTAAATATTCCTGGAAATTCTATACCTAGTGAAAGAATTTTTACAAAAGTTGCAAGGGAACTGAATGAACGAAGGGCAAGTTTGGGGTCGTAATATTTGGCTGAACTTCAGTTTATTGCTAGCAACGCAGATTGAATATAAGTTCATTTATATCCATAATTTGTGTAATGATTATATTGAAGTTTAATAAATATATACCAATTAATGACTTATCTATACTTATAATTAAAATTGGATAAAAATAAAGACATTATTCAAAAAAATTCAAAATATTCAAATAAAGTGGTTGTGAGTTTTTCTTCCTGATTTAAATTTATTAAACATGCTGAATGATGACACACATACAGTGTCGAAACGTACATAATATATAGTTAATTATATATTGCTTTTTATTTCGACTATTTGGCTGCAAATAAAAATTTTAAGGAACAAAAAATCAATTATTAATAAATATCGTTATGAACTAAAAGCCTATACTATAAAATGCTAATATATATATATATATATATATATATATATATATATATATATATATATATATATATATATATATATTTATATATATATATATATATATCTAATATTATATATATATATATATATATATATATATATATATATATATATATATATGATGATATCGTTCTTGGATTACATGATAAACTTTTTGGTCTTAAGATTGTCGAAAGGTTTCCCTACTCATAAAAATAACTGTAACGACAAAAAATGGCAATAAAACAAGTACGTAGACCACAATCGTGTAAAAAACTTAATCTGCATATTACCTTAGTACGCAAAACTATACACCCAGCATATATATATTTATATCCAGTTTCTTTTTATAAAATGTACACGACCCACACACACGCCCTCGAATCCAAACATTATTTAATAGTTTATTAAAATTTATATAACAGTTGTACCAACCGGAATATCACAGTAAGAATGCACATGAAAAACCAACTACTAACCTCCCCTTACGAAGCAGACGATAAGCTCTTTCAGAAACTCTACGATTAATTATTTACACACATTTATACATATCTTTACAAAAGTTGATGGGTTATTAATTTAATATTACATATTTACAATTGGGTAAAACAATATATTATACATATTCAGTAAAAATATTGCAATCTGTTTGACTAAAATGATAATCGATACAATAAATGGGTCACTAGAAAGTCTTAAATATATAAAATTACTATTAATTCGTTAAAATCGACTATATTAAATATATAAAGTTAAAAATTATTAAACTAAATTTGATATATTTACAATTTCATAAGCGTTATAAAATTTCATAGTGTTTCTATTCAATTTCATTATTTATTTTATGCTTTAAAAGATTATTAATCGATAAAGATTATTTAGACTGGTGGTCGTCGTTGACCAGGTTGTTACGATTGAAATCTGAAAAATTCTACAAATTTCACTTCATATGAATTTCCAGAAAAGTATCCTCAAAGACAAGTTGTTTGCTGCAGCAGTAAATATCTTTCAAATTATTTTTAAAATTTTCATTTCAAAATATGTCTTATAAGGTAAATTTAATATTATAATATTACTTTTAATTGGTTAAAATCGATTATATTAAATATATAAGGATAAAAATTATTAACTTAAATTTGATTATTTACAATTCCATATATGTTTTGCAGAAATGACTTCAAGAAAAGCTGTTTGCTGCAGCAGTAATTAATTTTAAAATTACTATTTTAAAATGGGCCTTATAAAATGAACAGTTTTCTGCAGCAGCAATAAAATAGATAATTTAAATGATAAACTGCAGCATTAATTTTTCCAATTCCTATGTTAAAATTTGTCTTATAAAATTACTTCAATTCATTAAAATCAATTATATTATATTAAATAAAGTTAAAACTTAATAAATTAGATTTGATTATTTACAATTTCATTTATGTTTTACAGAAAAGATAAAATGTTTGCTGCAGCAGTAATTATTTTTGAATTGAATTGCGAAAGCAATTATTTTTTAAAAAGCAACAATATTAAATAAAATAAGTTAAAATTCATTAAATTAAATTTGATATATTTACAATTCCATTAACGTTATAAAATTTCATAATTACTGCAGCAGCAATTTCTTTTCAATTTCCATTTTATAATAAGTTTTATAACAAGAACGTTTTTGCAGCAAGTATTTTTCAAATTCCTATTTCATTTCAAATAGATAAAGTTAAAAATGTGTGTTATTATAAATTTATATATTAAAAAAAACTACACTATTTTAAAATATGGCCCATAAAATGACCTGCAGCAATAATTAATTTTTAAATTTCTATTTCAAAATATAAGTTAAAAAATGTTGAAATCGACTAAATTAAATAAATAAAGTTAAAAATCATTAAATTAAATTTGATATATATAAAATTCCATAAAAGTTAAAAAAAATTCATATTGTTTCTCCATTTCATATTTACTGCAGCAGCAATTACTTTTTAAATATGTCTTATAAAATGAAATGCTTACTGCAGCAGCAACTATTTTAAAAGAAGTCTTATAAATAAAATAAACTTCTCATAGCAGCAGCAATTATTTTTCAAATTCTGCCTTCCAAATATGTTATAAAATGCTTACTGCAGAAGGAACTATTTTTCAAACTTCTATTTAAAAATACGTCTTATAAAATAAACCAGTTACTGCAGCAGAAATTATTTCTCAATTTCCTATTTCAAAATATGACTGAAAAATAAACTGCTTACCGCAGCAACAATTATTTTAGAAAATTCCATTTAAAAAAACGTCTTATAAAATGAACCGGTTACTGGGAGCAATAAATATTTTTCAAATGCCTATTTTAAAATACATCCTATAAAATGAACTCCTCAATGTAGCAGCAATTATTTTTCAAATTGTGATTTCCAAATATGTTATAAGACGCTTACTGCAGCAGCAATTATTTTTCAAATTTCCATTTAAAAATACGTCTTATAAAATGAACCGGTTTACTGGAGCAACAAATAGTAAATTTCAAAAAAAATGTCTAAAAAATAAATCACTTACTGCAGCAGCAATTATTTTACAAAATTCCATTTAAAAAAACGTCTTATAAAATGAAGCGGTTACTGGGAGCAATAAATATTTTTCAAATGCCTATTTTACAATAAATCCTATAAAATGAACTCCTCAATGTAGCAGCAATTATTTTTCAAATCGTGATTTCCAAATATGTTATAAGATGCTTACTGCAGCAGCAATTATTTTTTAAAATTATATTTTAAAACATGTCTTATAAAATAAACCACTTACTGCAGCAGCAATTATGTTGAAATTTACTATTTCAAAATGTCTTAAAAAATTAATTCATTCCTACAGCAGCAATTATTTTAAAAAATCCCATTTTAAAATACGTCCTATGCCGCTGACTGCAGCAGCAATTAATATTCAAATTCCTATTTTAAAACATGTCCTATAAAATGAACTGCTTTCAGAAGCAGCAATTATTTTTCAAAATTCTTATTTCAGAATATGGCTTATAAAATATATACGTTTCATACGAATTTGCAGAGACGTATCCTCAAAGATCAACGACTTTTTGCCACAGCAGCAATTATTTTCGCATCCTCAAACACGATTTGCTTGCTGCAATCGGAATTATTTTTCAAATTTCATTATCCCCGCAGCAACTATTATCAAAATTCAATTTCAATTACATTCACGAGAAAAAATGCTGTTTCAATTCATCAGCACTAAACTCCGGTGGTTTATCAAGAGTGAGATTATCAACGCTAGAACTAACCTGCACTTCCTCGATTTCCACAATTAGAGGTTCAGGAGACGAGTCGTCCCTGAAGTCCTCGCACTCGTCAACATTATATTCATTTTTAAAATATTCTGATCCCAAACTGTCGTCTGATGGGTACATCAGCTCCCTAGCAGCTCCTGGTGGTATTGGTAAATCAGCAACTTCTTCATTTGCTTCTTCGGCGTTGGCTAGATCAGAGTTGCGAACAAAACCGATTGCGGCGGTTGCTCCTGCGTTTTGGAGTGTCCCCACAAACTGGTATCTGGTCTAGTAAGATATCTGTGTCGGTTTTTGCGCTTTTTGGCAGTATTATTGATGACAACTGCCATGCCTAAACGTCTTTTGTTGGTAGTGCCTTTGGCGGCAGGTGACTTTTTTTTAGGCGGCGAACGCTTTTTAACAACCGGCTCTTTAACTTTAACATCAACTACTTTAGTCTTCTTAGCTGAAGCCTTCGGTTTCTTTTCCGGTACTGCTGCAGGCTTTGAATTATTTTTACGTTTCGATACTTTTGGAACAACCTTATTGAGTTTTTGTTGCACAATATCTTCCGATAACCTATCAACCCCAACTGTAAGATTTTTCCGGCGTGATAATTTTGGCAAAACAGGAATAGCCGCTGCTTTCGCTGCATATTCCTCGACCAAAAACACTTTTGGTGTACTACGTGTGGCTACATTTCGCGACCTCAAAACAATATTGTCATTATCGATGGTCGTAGAACTGACAACGTATGTCTCACTTAAATCTTTTGGTTCCTCCATTACGACTTTAGACGCTACACTTTTTTTGGTTTGCTTTTTTTCTTTGACCAAAACAATTTGATTTTCGCTCTCCGAAACCTTGTTGTCCTGCGTCAAATTCAGCTCCTCGTCAACGATTACACTGGCTTTTCTTTTAGGGATTTTAAAATTCTCCATTTTTTTATACCCAATATTATTGTTTCCTGAAATATCTCCTGTTTTATGCCACAGTTTGTCTTCGGCATTTGCATCTGCAGCAAGTGGTGGAATATATTTGAGTTGACCAGGCGTTTTAATACCAGCACCCAACTCTCCATAACTATTTTTTCTAACTCCAAAATTAGCTGGTTTGACTTGATCCTTGATTTTATCATCTGTTTGATGCTTGACAGCAGCGTTTGTTTGAGTTTTTAGAGATTCCTTAGACTTCACAGATTCTGATCTACTGCGTTTTGTATTAGTTTTCTTATCAACTTTTGAGTCATCTGCTAATAAATTTTCCAAATCCTTAGCAGTTTGTACATCACTTTTTGGTGTTTCATTAACTTTATCAGCTTTAGTTTGTAACAAATTACTAGATT